CGGAAAACTTTCTCGATATCTTCTGGTTCGATAACATGCACAGTGGTTTTGGGACTCGACAGCACGCTTTCTTTGTAAATAGGTCCAAGTTCTTCGAAAAGGCGCTCAAAAAGTTTGTATCCTTTGGCAAAGCGCTCGGTTTTCGTGAAAAGATCGTGCATGAGCTTCCAGCCATTAGGTTCTGGAATGTCTTCGAAAGCACGTACTCCATCGAACAGTCTTGAGTCTGTACTCCGGGACCTCCAGTGCAGCAATAGAAGTTTGAGATACTGTGTTCTGTGACAAGCGACTCTCGAGAAAAGCATTGTGTCTAGGAGGTTATGATCGTACCTGGCTGGTACTGACTGGCTTTTGACATCCCGTCTTCGTAAAAAAACATCACTGGCCTGCGTGGCAAGCGTTTCCGCGCGAGTTCGTCGAGGAAAGTTGAGGCGATAGCAAAAAGAGAAATAAACGGGGAGAGGGAGGGGAGAGAAGGAAACACAGGCATCCCATCATACAAAAGGGTTCCCAGCAGTGACGTCACTGTAGCAGCAGAAATACACAGGGTCACAAAAAACAACCCCTGAACGCTAAAAATAACAACAATTACAAACAAACAAACAAAAAATAATTATGTCCAGAAATACACTGGAAAAATGGCACAAGTAAGTGCGTTTTATTTATTTTCTTCATATGTGTAAATGAAGCAACCACTGCTGATTGCATATTTGCTGAAAGGTGGTCCTTTATGTCTAAATCATAAATTGTATCTGTTTTTCTGTTTGGATCACCATAACTTTTCCCGGCGCAAAATAATGATTTAATTTTTCATGTCCAGACTTAATACCTAAATATGTACGTTCCACCTGTTACCTTTTATCTTCTTTGTTTTGCTGCTGCTTTTGACTAATAATATATAAATACTATTCATTGTTCAGTAATTTATTTTTTTCAGGATATTTTCAAAGTGAGCCCTCTCGATGAGTTTTAATTACTCTTAGGTCAGCTCTCACTTGTAGCATTTGTTGAAAAAAATAATAAAGAAATTCGCCTGCAAGGAATCAGGTCGATTTAGCGAGGAATTGGGAGCCATGGGCATAAAACACAAAAAAAATACTGAACTTTAATCCACTTCTCAATCTCGTTCCAGCGTCTCATCTGCGCAGGCGTGGACAAATACAGCAATAAGTATCGATCCGAAAGAAACTAAGATTTCATTTTCACGGAGGATTCAGTTTTCTTTCGGCAAATTAGGACGTACAGAATTACGGAAATGCTGCATGATGCATTGAGGCTCTTTTTATGGAACTATTCTCCAGAAGCGGTTCAAAATATAGGTTATTTATGCACAGATTGAAATTCCGAACCCACTCAGCTGTTTCAGACCTGCGTTGTCAAAAACGTTTCAGGATATGGGGTTTTTCTTCGACGTCAATCAAACCGTTACCATAGCTTTCAATCCTTGCCTGTCAGATAAAGAACGCTATAACGACTGGAAGCTGCAAAATTAAGTGTTGGCGGGGACGTTTTCGCCCTCTCATATCTGAGTTTCTTCCGGATTTGGAAGCTCTATAGGAACAATTTCACCTTGGGAATCTCAACTTGCCATGTTTTAGTAAGGGTAAAAAAATCGAGAGCTAAAAGACCAAAAACGTGAAAACACGAGAACTCTAAAGTTCAAAAGCAACGAGCTTTGAAACACAGAAAGATACAAAACGGATCGAAAACCGGCAGTCACCATTCACAAAGCCATGAACCTTTGAACACGTTGAAGTAAACTTCTGTTTCTTAAGAGGACCGCCTGAGTCTGCGTTTTTTTGCCGTAGATCAAAGCACAGGCGCAGTCGTTTTTCAGCCCTGTCCTACTTCGGTATGATTTCATTTACGACTGAACACATGATCGGAACTAATTTTTTCAATATCGCCTGCAAAAAGCTGAAAATTGCACAAATTGCTCAAGTTAATCAACTCTTTTTACCTTTGGAATTAAGGTTTGCCTACACGGGGACGCTCCGCCAGAAAGGGGTACCTGTTTTTGAGGCTCCAGGTATAAGAAAGGGTAGGGATTTTACTAATTGAAGTATATGAAAGGGTAGAAATCATTTCGGCCTGAAATATGATCTAAAAGGGCTTCAGAAGGATTTTATAGCTGTGGAAAAGTCGAGAAAATGTTCTGGTTCCGTAATTGACCGGGACTCATATTTAAGAAATTTTACATACAACGCGTTTACAGCAGTTTAAAGGGATGCAAATTTCTAAACTAGGTAAGTAAAAGAGGTTCCATTTGTCAATGGAAGGTATACGAAAGGGTCCCCTTTTCTATCCAAAATGGGAAATTAAAAGGGTAATGGTTTGGACCTCGGGGCGAAGCCTCCCCGTATAGGACTTTGTTGAGTACCCTCCCTCCCCACCCACACACACACACACGATACGGCCACGGTTTCTATAGAAACGGGGAAAATGTCAACATGCTGTCATGTAGCCAGGAGTCGATTGCGGCTTCTTTGTCAGCAAAGATTGGCCTATAGTCTACCATTCCAAGTTCATATCAGCTTTACTCCACGTGTATTTTCCTCCCCTCTTAATATACATCTTCTCATCAAATCCGCTGGCGTTGATGGCGTTCTCCACTCCGACATCCAGCAGGGATTTTGACGGAACTTTAGCACCTGTTCGGCAGTCCAGGAAACGCATCTACATCAAAGACAAAGAGAATTATTTAGTTGTGTGCCACCGAATCGCCACATGTAAGGGAACACTTATTCCAAGACAGTCTTGGATTCTGAATTCCACACCGTAGATTCCGGATTTTAGACTTACTGGATTCGGGCAGTGAAACTTGGATTCCGGATTTCTATCGTTAATCGGATTCCGGAGTCCTTGGGCTGTTTTCCGGATTCCAAAACAAAGGATTCCGGATTCCACAGCAAAAGTTTCCCGGATTCTGGAATCCGGATTCCCTTGAATGGGCGAACTGAACTACGAATTCAAAATACCTTATTTCCCTCAGTGATCGTAGAGAGGGAAATGTGCGAGTACGTGTGAAAATGCAACCCTCGAGGAGCGACAACACGCGTGTACGCAAAAGAGAGGCAGGTGTCTTCAGTACTTTTCAGTATTTTTTGAATAAGCAAAACCAGAAGCAAAGGAGCCCCCCCCCTCCCACCACCTGATTTTACCAAATGGTAAGGATATCCCACAGAAAGTCTCTTTGTCATTTGCAAAACACAGATTTCCTTAGAAATGATTGGGTTTTCTTCTAATAGCTTCACGCGATGTAGTCAGCTTAAGAATCATCTGTACTTGCGATACTCACGGCTGCTGGAATGCTCACCATGAGGTCAAAAATGCCCAAAATTTTGAAGGGAAGTTTAACGGTAAGGCTCAGTTTTCAGAAATTCCTAGCCGTTCCATTCCTGCTTGCTTGTACGAACCAAGTGGAATATTCGCCCCATATTGGGAAACGGTCTTGGATTTCACACCGTGGGGATTCCGAATTGACAAAATTGCACATTTTTCACATCTCTATTGTCTCCCCCCCCCCCCCCCCCCCC